AAACGTTTATTTGTAAAAAGGCCATTTGTACAAAGACCAACAGCTGGCGAACCACCCGGGACCCGGGGGTTGTTTTTCGATTAAAGGCATGCTGACCACATGACAATCCGAACTTGTATCCGCCGGGAACGACATTTTTTTTCCTGTGTTACCGTCGAAGGCTGTGTCTAGGCCTCCCTACACTAAAACGGCTGGAAACGCCAGACGTAATTAGAAAAAAAACATCCCGCGGCTGGTCAAGAGAATGCCGCCAAGAATAACCCACAGCAGCAATAATGGCCACCGTTAGGCCTCACCCTGAATCTGTTGGCATTTCGCATGCAGCCTTCCTCGGTCAAGGGGAAGTCNGAACGACATTTTTTTTCCTGTGTTACCGTCGAAGGCTGTGTCTAGGCCTCCCTACACTAAAACGGCTGGAAACGCCAGACGTAATTAGAAAAAAAACATCCCGCGGCTGGTCAAGAGAATGCCGCCAAGAATAACCCACAGCAGCAGTAATGGCCACCGTTAGGCCTCACCTTGAATCTGTTGGCATTTCGCATGCAGCCTTCCTCGGTCAAGGGGAAGTCGAACGCCCCAACCGCAGGCGACTTGTTGATGGCGTCGATCACCGGCCACAAGATCTGGTACGTGGTCGGCACCGACAAGCCAAACATGAGGGCAACATCCCAGTAACTAGCGCCAGCCAGGATCCTCAACGCCACGGCAACGCGGACTTCTACGGCTATGGCGCCGTTGATTGGCGATCGCAGTGCTGTGGGGTTTCGGAGCGATGCGCAGATAGTGTTCGAAGGATAAGCGTGTGTCGGTCAGGAAAAATGTACCAGTGTCATAGGGGGTGTGTTTGCAATCGCCAGCGTCAAAGGACGCATGTCATCGTTAAACTCGCCAGAGTACCGGCCCAATACACCTCCCGACTAGGGTTGTGAGACGGCTCTGTGTTCTTCACGGAACACACAACTAACCTCGCATATGCAAATGAGGAGCACGTGTCGACTCTTGTATGCTATCATTGCGGGATACGACAACCTGTGTAGGCTCCCGACGAGGCATGTCTAATGTATAGTGGCGCCGGCGTGTGTTGCACGCTCTATTCATACTGCTGAACTTATTTCAGCGCCACCATAGTATCTTCCTGTCGTTCCCATACAACGACTGCTGCTGTATGCATGTGCAGACACTGCTGTACCTACTGCTGTAGAATGAGTGCTGCTGCGTGTATGCATACCCTGGCTGCATGTTTCCATTAGGGAGTTTTTTTTTTTTAAAGATAGCAAACAAACAGCAAGGCAGTCTACAGCAGTAGTGTTTCTCCTGGCTTTTAGACTTGCTCTTCCCCGTTGTTCTCTACGTATACATGAGAGGAAGCCTTACGCATACCTGCCGTGGGCGGCTGCATTTACACATTAACTCTCACCGCCGAAGAAGGTGTTGACTGCCAGCGAAGGGCGGAGTAGCTCGACAAGCTTGTGGAAGCTGGCCTTCTCCATGCGGTACGACCGCCGCCAGCCTTGCCGTTTATCGAGGTCCGCCTCGTGTTGGGCATACGGAAGCCGCTTGGGCTCATAGATGGGCTCCCGTTACTGAGGGCAGTGGGCACGATGAGCTTCTCCTGCTGCCACCACGCCCGCCACCACTCCTACGGCCTACAGAAGACCCAGGACTGTGAGAGATCTCGTGTGTTTTTCTGGGCTGCACCGTCCTCATCGATAGCTCCTCCACGGCGCTCTCCCGGCGTTGCGCTGCGGGCCCCTGGGGATGCTGGCGCTTCCGGCGTTCAGCCATGGTAGTGGGGTTGCCTCGGGAAGCGGTTTGGGGTGTTGGTGGTGCTGTCTAGGTGTGGTGTGATGAAGACAGCACGCGTGACCGGTGTCTGCTCCGGTCCTCGAAAAAAGCGGGAAATTTTTCACCGAACAGTTAACAGGAGCAAGCCCAGAAAAAATACGCTTCGCTCTGCTCTTTTCACGGAAACGTAAAGGAACGCCTCCATATATTTCAAGAAGTACGGTTTCGTAACCGAACACGTATTTTTTCGGCCTGATAATCTATATACCCCTATGTTAAAAATAACGTCGGAAAGGGTGCAAAGGATATTATGGTGTGTGTTGTGTGTTTTCGTCCTACTATGTCCTATGGCGACAGCTCCCCCATTATTCGTGGTGAGACGTGTACTACACTCTTCAGCTCATGTATGTAGAGTACTACACTATTTAGTGCAATTTTTCGTGCAACTGTTGACTACAACCATCCAGGGTCACACAGGAGGGGGTAAACACCAGCGCTTTTTTTTCTTCTATTTATTTCTTTTCATGCCCCACCTTCCTCTTGCGGTGCGTGCTGAATTTTATTTTTATAGCGAGAAGGGTCCAGCCGCCTCTTTCCCTCGTCAACGGTGCCACCGTCGAAATTTGGTACTCACGACGAGAGCTTTTTAAGCCATACTTCGCTTTCACCCGCCAATTTCGTAAATTTTTCACTCCATGGGGATTCGAACTCACGACCTCTGCGACTGGTGAATTACGACGATACCCCTAGGTAGACCACCGGGGCGACCGTACACGGTAGGTATCCCCGAACCAACATATATATATATATATATATTGCCTTCCGACAATTGCAGATGTACCTCAGAAAACTTTCACTTTGGGGGCAACCGATTTTCGATATTCGGCCGGTTGAAATCGGAACTCTGCCCTAGCAGCCGATTAGAAATCGGCCGTATGTAGCCGATTGAAAATCTGCTACAGGCAATCTTAATCTTAATTCGGCTGAGCCCTGGCCAAAATCGGCCGCTTTGTTTAAAAAATCGGCCGTGTTTGTCTTGGCCGTTTTCCGGCCGAAGTTTTCAGAAATCGGCTCTTTCGGCCGCGGGCGATGGAGCAAAGAAAGGCCTAGTGTGTGTGTTGAATTTATGTGGTTTCGCCGCACTCAGGGCCGAGTGACGTCAGAACCCGCACTATAGAGGGTCCAAGTTGTGCCAAGCGATTTCACCCGCACTTTAGCGGGCACCCGCACTATAGCGGGCCCTCGACTGTATTTATATTACATCACGTCCATCATCATCGTTCACGCGAGTTGAAGCCACCCAGAACGAAGAAGAATAAAATGCAATAGACCAACCGACCATCATCCCGGTAGAGTAATAAGGGAGGGTATTAAGGGCAACCTAAGGCACCCCCCACCTCGGCAGCTCGTTCTCTGGTGTCACGATGAGTTATGAAGAGGTTGAGGTGTCGGATGATAGCTTCTATCATAGCCTACAACATAAAAAAGAAATTTGGAAAAAAGTTGAGATGGCGATGAGATATACCCCTCAAAGTATACCTGATTTTCCAGATAAAAATGCGCGGAGAACGACCGCGCGGGTATGAAGGGCAGGTTCCGGTGATGGTCGATTTGCAAAGGTTCTGAAGCGTACGATGACGTCAAATTTGGCACACATAATCTTAGTATGATGGGCGTTCGATAAAAAAAAAAAAAAACGGCTCACAACCGGGGACACAATGCCCATATCCCCGGTTTTTCGGCTCAATTCTGCGGGGCGAAAAATACCCATTTTTGGGGTTAGTGCGGGTTGTGTTGCCTTGAACCAGCTCAACCGTTGAATTTGATGAACTAACGACTAGTACGCATCCTGTTCTGAGTCACAAAAAAAAAAAGTTAAACGGATGCCTATGGATGGTGATATGCCTGTCTAAACATGGGCACTTTTGCCCCCTTTTTGGCTTGTACGGCAGCAAATTCCGCCAAAACCGTGCCACATGTTGAAGCAACTATTTACACCCATGTTAACCCCCCGCGTGACGCCGTTTCAGAGGAACGTACTGAAGGTTGCAGAAAACACGTTGGATGACAAAAAAAAACAAAACATAGCCCAGGGGACAAAAGTACAGCATCCCCGGGTTTGTCCACAAGTTGTCCGCCAGCCATTCCCGCCTCCCCCTCGACGTGCTGTTTGACAACCACGTTACCTGAAGCACCCTCGTGACCCGTACTGAACACTCAACAGTTCGAAATCAGTTCCACACACAAATTTCAAGCCATTCAGAGCTAACTTTAGCCCGATACCATGTGGTTCTCTGCACAACAATACAACCCCCACCTCCCCGAAGAAACCTAGACATCCACTACAGGTGTCGGCGTGCGGGTTCGTCCCGATCGCGATACGGACGCCGCCGGCGGCTGACCCCCGGTGATTCCTGACCCTCCCGCCCCTCCCGCCCCTCCCGCTCCTTCCGCCCCTCTCCCACCGCGGCTAGGACCACCTCCCCGCCCATGCCCCCCCGTGCCCTCGCCGCGGCCACCAACAGTGCGCCCGCCCACCCGCGCGCCCCGCCCACGCCCCCCTCGCCCCCCTTGAACAACACCAACACCTCGCCCCCCCCCTTCCTCCCTCCCTCTCTCGGTTCGCTCGTCCCTCCTACTCTCCTCTTCTCGCCCGCCCCCCCGCCCCCTTCCCTGGCCCCGCCCTCTGCCCTGCCCTTGCCCCCGTCCCCGCCCGCCGTTCCTCGCCGCCGCCGTCGCCGCCGCCGCCGCCTTCGCGTCCCGTGCCGTTTGCCTCGCCGCGGCCTTTGCCGCCTTGGCGGCCTCGGCAGCCTCGGCTTCGTTTTGTTTCTTCTTCATCTCCGCCAACCACCCGTCACAAGTGAGAAGTCCTCCCTCTGGAATGCCCAAGTTCGCCCGGGTTGGCGGCTTCTTGGATCGCTTGCTGGGCAGGTAGTCGCCGAGAAACACCGTGCTCACGCGGAGTCCCGTGAGGGTGTGGCCTTCCCCCAGGAGCTTGCGGACGGCGCGTTCGCCCAGCAATTCCTCCAGCCGATCGTTGCTCACGGCGATGGGGACGTCTTGCAGGGGAGGGCGGTCGGTTTCCCTCTCCTTCCTCTTGGGTTTCAGCAGCCGACTGAGTGCCCGTTCCTTGTCCACCGGCCAAAGGCCCGCCCCGGCGAAGGAAGCTTTGTTGATGTCCGGCGTAAAGCTCGTGCTCCACGCTTGCCCGATCACGGAGGCCATGTCCCGCTTCCGCGGCAACGCCCCTCCGTGTGTCGCCGGGAAGGCCTGGATCGCCTTGGTCAGCTCCTTCTTGAAGCACCCGAAGCCAGCGACGTCCAGGGGCTGGGTGATGTGGGACATGTGGGAGGGCAGCTGGACGAGGTGGATGTTGAGGGACCTGGCCAACTCCACGACTTCCAAGCTCACGTGCGACGCGTGCCCATCCAGCACGAGCACATGGGGTTTTCCATCGAGCAAGTTGCGCTTGCGCAGCTGCTCGTGGAAGTCCATGATGTACTTGATGAACACGTCACCACACATGAAGGACGACTCCGTGCAGGTGTACGTCGCACCCGGCGGGCCGTCCTGATCCACGATCCAATCTTCGTTGAAACGCTGCCCTTTGAAGATAATGGTAGGGGCCAACACGGCGCCGGCGGCGTTGATGGTAGTTACGATCGTGCAGTTCTCCGCGAAGTGGAACGCATCTGCGGGACCACCGGCTGCCCCCGTTCCGCATAGACCCGCTGTCCCTGGGCACCTTGAATGGTGCCACCTACAATGATAATTTGTGGTGGAAAGGCGCGCGTGGGGGAAATCAAAGCGGATGGAGAGTAAGTAGAGGCAAAACAGCGCTCACACGCACCACCAACGTCCAGCCTACCGTGGGTTGGGGGCGCGGGGGAACGGGTAGGGCAGACGCACAGGGTGGAATGTCCTCACATGTGAAATGTTCCCCACCTGCTGCAGAGCTGCTTCACAATAACAGAAGTGTAGAGTATAATCTAGCCTTTGGGCCAAGGGCGAAAAGACATCTGGATCAGAGTGACAGCAGTAGACTAGTCGAGGAGGTGAGCAAGATGCACAACGCAGCGGCATCACAAACAGCTTCAACTTTCACACGTCAATTTCGCGTCTGTGCTGCGTAAGAACATGTGTAGCACCATGCGAAAATTCCTTTCAAACAGCGTGTGTATTTACTGCCGACATAATCAAGGACCCCGAGCAGCACCCAGCGTACACAACAGCAATATGCGCGTTCATCCAGCAGTGGTCCTCTGCACGCAGCATGTGCATGCGGGGGAACGAGGGAACTCCAATTTTCAGCAGCATCAGAACTCCGCGTAATTTTCACATTTGTGCACTTTTGCTGAAAACGTAGAAACAAGCCTGCCAACCGCCACACAGCAGCTGCTGCTGACACCACACCAGTAGTCTAGACTACTCTATGCTCACCTGACTCGTCCGTGTTCCAAATGTGGTCGGCCGCAGGCCTGTGCTCGCCGAGAAACTCCGCCCAAAAACCGTAGAACTTGTGCAGACGCTCATCCTCTGACGAGGTCACCCGGTTAGACTCGTAGATGCGGGCGAGTCGATGGCTGATGCCCTCGTGCCTTCCGAGGAAGCCCTTGAGCCAGTCCTTCCCCGGGCCCTTGTCACTGTTCCACGGGATCGGCCGACCGTCGTTGCAGAGCCGGCTCACGCGTTCCGTGAGGTCTGCGGTGGTGAGAGGAATGAAGTTTCTGCCAGCGTACAACAGGAGATATTTCACCGCGTCCTCCTCTGCTTTGGTCATGACAGTCCCGGGGCCAACCCTCGCGTCCATGGCGCAATTACCATCCAGACGCCGCTGGAGGGAGCTTCTACCCAACCCAAAGGCAGCTGCAGCGGCGTTCTGTGACATGCGACCGCTGCGTACCGCTTCACACGCCTTTTCAGCGGCTACGGGGTCCACTCTCTGCCGACCTATGCTTGNAGGCAGCTGCAGCGGCGTTCTGTGACATGCGACCGCTGCGTACCGCTTCACACGCCTTTTCAGCGGCTACGGGGTCCACTCTCTGCCGACCCATGCTTAGCAGCAGGAGCCCGACAAGGGCTAAGATGCCCCACATCAAGAGCGCTGGTGGGCGGGTTGCTGTATCTCGTGGCTGCGAGACCCGATCGCGACGCTGAAGTGCTCAAACGAAAGCTAACGGAAAGCTGAACAAAATTCAAAACAATAAAAAAGGGGGGGCCGGCCGAGTGTGCGCCGAGGTATGCCCAGTTGAAAAAAGTTGCCCTTAATACCCCCCCTGCCCTGAATACCCTCCCTTTTCTCGATGCTTTCGATCTTACGATCTTGTCAATGATTTGCGGAGTGTATGGTAAAATGCTGGAATGGTTGCCGTATTTTAATTCGGCGTCTAGACACCCCCCCGGCGCGACATCGACCGGCGCGCCAGGACACAACACGCGGAGGAGGTTGTCAATTTGCGGAAAACGTTTCGAGACCCCAAAAAATTCACGAACCGACGCAACATTGACATGGGGCGCAAAGAAGCCGGCACCACCGGCCGCCACGAGCACTTCAATGCGCCCCCCACACTGTCTAAGCAAGGCGGAACCAGCGGAAGCCACCTCACTAAGACCCACACCCATATCGGAGGGTGGACACACCGCTGCCAAAGCAGACACACGAGATCGCCATTCGCAAAGTTCACGCGAACCCGCTATCGACCTAAACGAGACATCACCTGGTCGCAACGAAGAGACAGCCCCGGGCACACACGCCCCTCGACCGACACCCACGCCCGCCGCCGCCAACGCGGCGGCCCCAAGCGCTCTGGAACCCGGCCCCGCTGTCTGATCTACGCTCCCACACGACTGTGGAGTTGGCCCCGCCGAAAGGCAGAGCCCGTGTCCTCAGTTGCTGCCATCTCCCCGGCGAACGACCAACGCCGAGGAGCCGCTTCCGCCATCGGTCGCGGCGCCCGAGGCTCCCCCTCCACCCGAAGCGCGACCCCCACCGCCGCCGCCACCCTTGCCGCCCCCAGTCGCATGGCGGAACACGCAGGAGTCGCCCCACCTGCATGTTTGGGAGTCGCGATATTCGAAACACACTTTCGACCGGCGTTTGGAGTCCCCACCCGCGGAGCGGGAGTCCCCCCGCCGTCTCTTACCCCCACTCGATCCAGAAGACCCTCCACCACCCACAGTCCCGAACATCCGTAGCGCAATGCTCCCGGACATGGAGAAGCCGTTGATGCCATCGAACCGAGGAACCGGCGGGGGGCCAAAGCGCTCGAAAGACTCCGGCGGCACCGGCAAATTCTGCATCGGTAACATCCACAACATTACCGCATTTGCCCATTCCCGAAAATCGTCGTTGGGGAGGTCGGCGAAGGTCCCCCGCGACCCCCTCCCCTGAAAATCGCCCATATGACGGAGGGCTTGCATGCGCAGCGTACCCCGCGCCGAAAGCATGGCCTGCTCCATGGGCAGCAAGCGCGCCAGAGCTGCAGCGTTGTCCGCGGAGGTGGCAGAGAGACCAAATTTCAACACGTTAACGATCGCAGCACAGGTCAAATCGAAGTGGTCCGGGACTGACAGCTCACCAGAATTGCCAACGGGAAAGAAGTCGAGGACGTTCAGTCCGGACATGGTCCGAAGCTGCTGCAAGGTCTTGTCGGTGCCGGTAACGGTCCCCCCCATCATCGTTTGCAGGGTCTCTTTGTTGGGAACGTCAATTCCCCGCTTACCACGCAGCGCCCACATCAAACGTCCCGCACGCCAAGCAGAAGCGGTACTCTCGAATTCCGCTTTTGCGAAGCGACGCTGGCGATCAGCGTCCGACCCAGGAGCAGCAGCTGCACCAAGACCCGCACCGACCGCCACCGCGGCTCCCGCGCCATCAGCAGCATGCGGGCCGACCACGTGCGAACCCGCGCCCCTACCTTGGTTGTTTAGCAACTGCTGCAGGAATTGCTCCAAAGCCGATACTTTCGCAACGAGATTCTCGTTATCTTGCTGAACATCACAAGCTGCAACGCACCCGGCGCCCCCGACGCCGCACCGGCACCCAGGTTGTTGCCCCCGGCCACCGCAGACGACCCACCGAGCCCCTCCACGGATAAACCAGCCATGCCGTCGGCCAGCCGTGCCTCATACCCGCCGACCGCCGACTCCGCCGCGGCTGCGGCCCCAGCTGCCGCTTCTTGCTGCTGACGTTGAAGTTGCTGCGTCTGCTGCTGCTCCTGCTGCTGCTGTTGCGGCTGCTGCTGCGGCGGCTGCTGTTGCTGTGGCGGCGGGTTCTGCTGGGCTGCCAATGCCATTGCGGCAGCCGCGCCCGCCACAGTGGCGGAGGGAGGGACACCGCCACCACCGCTGCTGCCGCCGCCGTCGGCGATCGAGGCATCCACCGACGTACGGATCCTGTCGGCAGGCCCTTTTCCGAGATTTGGATTCGAATCCATGTCGCCCCGAAAACAGGGGAAACGTAGACGCGAAACTTCTCCAGTCCAATACGTCACGCCACGAAACGTCACGTGCTCTCAAGAAACGTCACGGCAGAAAACAACCCTTGGCCACCACACGCACACGTGTTCTCGCTCGCCCCCGGTAAACACGGCGACGCGAGTAGACTGAAAACAGAAACCAACACGCTCGTCCGCTTCCTGCTTTCTGATTGGCCAAAGGTTTATTTCTGCCGCTTATCACAATACGCGGATTTCCCTTACTTCGTCATTCAACCTTTCGCTTACTCTAATCCTCTCGTGACCAGAGACCACGGTCGTTTCGTGACCACCTAGTATCGGCAACTACTTTCCAGAAATGTTGAGAAAACATTTGATTGCAGTCAACTACTGCTGTTTCAAAAAGCTGAGCAAATATTTGGCTCCAATCAACTACTGTTTTGAAAAGCTGCGCAAATATTTGGTTCCAGCCAACTACTACTGTATTAAAAAGCTGCGCAAATATTTGGTTCCTGTCAACTGCTGTCTTGAAAAGCTGCGCAACTATTTGGTTCCGAACAACTGCTGTCTTGAAAAGCTGCGCAAATATTTGTTTGTTGACAGGCAAATACCCGAAATAGCTGATTACACTCAAATGGTTGTATTTACATTTGATATTTGTTCAGGGCGTGAATCTACACGGCGAGATGGGTTTTGCTCCCGTCTTAGTACAAAACACTTGTAGCCAGCGTCGGTTGTACCGAGGAAGAAGCGAGTGGTGCAACGAACACGCTTATACTCCAGCATGGGGGGGTGTGGTTACTAGGGTTGGCGGTGATCGATTTGTAGGTACACATCTGCCTTGCTTTTGTATTTGTTAAGGCGTTCTGGAAAACAGCATTGCCGTCGTCCCTCTTCCGCATACACGAGGAGCGGCTATGAGCACAAAAGGAAGATACTAACACTGCCGTGTACCCACCCCTGACCCCCAGCAAGAACACCGTGATTCAATCGCCACGGGTGGAAACGACTGGAAAACAGCACCACGCACGGACGTACGTGTGATGGAAGCGCTTGATGACATCGCATGATTGGAGATCTACCGCCCGTCGCCACGCTCCTCGATATACTCTGCACCCCCTCCCACCCCCCGACCCTTCAGCCGCCCTCTCCTGGTGATTGAAACAAACACATCCGAGTGGCGTCCCCAGCCCATTTCACCATGTGTTTTTCGTGCACTACTTGAGCAGACATCTGAAGGAAAGGTCCTCGCCACACTACAATACCATCATCGATCAGCCCCAAACGTCGAGCCAAGCCAGGAAGACGCTTACGGAACCGAAACCGACAACAAACTTTTGCGAGCAGTTGTTTCTCTTCGATTACCCCGCCCCCCCCCAACCCTTGACATGAGTACATGCCCCCCCCCCAAAACCTCTCCCCGTTGCTACGATATGTTCATGTTTACACGGCTTGTTCCATGATATCAAGGCCACGTTAGCGAGAGTTCTAGCGCCTGTCGCTTCTGAAGCCATTCTAGCCGAGCCGCGTGCACACACAACTCAAGAGCTTGCTCCTCCTTCCTTCCACCGTTCCCCTCCCACGCAACCGCCGCAGCAATGACGCGTCTTTCGTCTCAAGAGCTGAACACAATTGACGTCCATCGTCTACCAGCGCGTCACCTACACAGCACTACGGTTGCAGATGCGATACAACATAACCAACTCCACCAACGAATTTCGTAGTCCTCCTACGAAAACGCACACGCAAAAATCTTTGGTGGAAAAGCGTTCAGCAATTGAAACGCATGTTGTCTAGCTGACCACGTTGAAGCCACCATGCGTGCAAGCCCAAGGAAAACGGAAACCACGCACCCCAAGCTACAAGCTGCCCCGTCTCCAACATGAATTCATTCACGTACGTGCATCCTTTCCGCGACTGACTGCTGTCACAAACCCTCCTACATGAATACAATACCGCTCTTTGTACAACGTCAGTACGTCTTGTCCTTGACGTGCCGGGCCGCCGCTAACCCTACAACTCCCCAGCCTTGTCTCATCACAACACAAAACGCGCGTGAACGGGCCAGGCCCCATTCTCTTTCTCATCTATGCACCAACGCGGTTCCTGCTCCTCTCTCGGTGTACACATGGTCATTGCTTTTCATACAGGCATTTATCTACTTGAACTGCCGGGCGGTGGCTTCGATGCTAGCCTCGTCGGCACCGGTGACCGTCTCCACCACCTCCCCGTTCTTGATGAACTTGAAGGTGGGCATGGCCTCGATGCCGTACTTCTCCGACGCGTCGCTGTTCTCATCCACGTCCACCTTCTCAGGGTTAGGGTTGGGTGTGTTGGATAGGGTTGTTATTTTGTTCGCGGTTAATCCACGTCCACCATTTCTTGGTCGGGGGTGTTGGGTTCGGTTGTTGCTGCTGCTCTTCTTTCGTGCCTTTTTTTCTGCCTGTCAAGCAGGTCGTCGTTCAGGCCGCCCCGCCGTGTATCGAAAAAAAAAAGAGATAGAAAAGCAGCACACACACGCCCTTAACAAGAGTGGACCGCCTTCGTGAGAATGTTCGTATCAATTATTCATCTTTCAGCAAGCTCACTTAATGACCCAAGTCTCTCTCGTTGTCGCATCGTCGGGCTTTCCACACCGACGCCGCCGCCATCACTCCACGACGGGGCGAAGGAACGGTTCGTTCGGAATGGATAGATAATAGGGCATGCGAGCTATAAAAATTTGTTCATCACTTGGCACAAAAAAACGAGAATGTGGTAGTTTTCCGGGAGATACAATTTTTTCGCGTACATATAATCCAAACACACCTAGAACGTCTTCCATAAATATGCTCGTTTCCCGGAGAAAAAAGTTGAAGTTTCGTTCACCAGAATTCAAAACGAGCTCAACGTAAGTTATATATATTCCACTACTGAGCCTCACTCTCCCATCGTCATGATTTATTCTCAATTTCACGAAAGTGTTCTTTCTTTCTATGAACTTGAGAGAGGGTTCCTATCCCTGACCCCCAACACCACCCCGTACCCTCTGATAAAACTCCTCGCCAAGTCTAATGACAAGAGTCCCGGGTGGGAGGGGCACCCGCGCACAGGAAAACATCGCACATGGTGGTAACAGTACACAACATACCTTGAGGAAGACGACGTCGGTCAGAGTCTCCGACAGCTTAGCCAGGAAGGGAGCGATCCGCTTGCAAGGGCCGCACCAGGTGGCGTGGAAGTCAACCACCACCTTTCAGAAAGATTCATGAGCGAGCACGAAAAAAAAAACTCAAATAAATAACCTAGAGGTACACAGGTGCGCGTGCGACACGCAGAACAAGCACAAGCCACACGCCGGGAAACCCGCCCTGAATGGGCAAGACATGAGAGGACAAAATACGAGCTGGTCCTCCAATGAGAGAGGCGAGTCGTCACATTCGCAAAAGTTGTCTGCATGGGGGTTGACTTGACTACACTTACCTCCGGGTGGAGCTCGATAGGATGTTGAAGTCAATGGTACAGATGAAAGGCTCGCGGCGAAGGTGGCCGAAAAAAGAACGAGAGGAAAAAATCCTACAAGTGCATAAAAAAATCACGTCTCACAAGGAGAGTTGCAACCGCCGAACGGTAGTGGGATAAAACGTCGAGATCCATCAGCAACAACAACCGAATTACAGCAGTAGACTAGTGACCAAATAACGGAAGGGCACACCCACGCATGGGGGAATCGGGGTAAACAATCCCTTCCACCGTTTGACCGTTGAAAATCACGTAACTCTCTGCCAGCAAGCACGGCACACAAGAGTACGAAGGCCACGCACGTGCTTCTTCTGTGGGGGGATTGCCGAGTTATTGTGGCGACTTTCGTCGTGTCGATATGGTCGGAAATGCCGTCTACAGGCATGATGCATATGGCAGTACTGCTGTACTATCATTTTCAAGCAACATTGAATTGATACAAGGCAACCCTGTACGATAAAACGAATACTTCCATTTGCTTCATCTCGACCTCTTTTTGAGAGACAGCAGTGACAACCTGGTTGCTTTGGATGGCTCTTGGATGGGGAGGGTGGGATCGCGGGAGATCAGCGGTATTCAGCCGATACCGTGAGCCCAATCTCTCCGTAATCCAATCAGTGAAGTACCCGTACTTTTTCGCCAGGGACACAACTATTTACCAGGGTTCTCTCTCTCTCTCTCTCCCTCGCTCTCTTTACTTGAGAGCTGTGCAGTGCGATTTGCGAACCGCGGGGGACGCGACAAGTGTCGTGGAGGTTCGAACGAAACGGGCTTTGAAGCTAACACGGGCTGTTCGAGGCTGCACAGAAATCGGCGAAACGACAACGAACGGGAAAGACTTCAACCCAAAAAACAAGAACAAAGGTAGGGCAGACCACGCGTCCATGATGAGATGATGATGACGACAAGCAGCAGGAGAAAGAAGCTCCAATCGATATACAGTCTACGCATCGCCCACATACCCACAACAAGCCCGCTGTGTCTGTAACATCGAAACCATCCCCGGGATACCAGCGGTGTGGGTACGGGATGTCCTGCAAAGCGGTGGGGAAAGGAGCCTTCGGTGTGTCGCGTCCCTCATCCGACTCTAAATGATTTGGAGACGCAAAAATAGCCTGCTGGCAGCGGTGACTACATTTATCTCACCAGCTTGGATCCAGCACCGGCCAGGGCAGTCGACAGCGCCTCAGGTGTGTCGCAGGGTGTGACCGTCATGATTTTAGGCTGGACGGAAAGCAGAGAGATCACGGAGGGAGGTGAAGTGCAAGAGGTGGGTGGGTGGGTGAGACCTGCACGAGAGGCCGGATTGGGCGGGGGGATACGCAGAATACAATATGTACCAAAGGAGGAAGAACGTCTACCGTATATGACGCAAGATAATACACCCCTTTTGACCGATTTTTGAAGCTCGATTTCTCAACTAACGGAACAGTCACTCCGCCAAAATGGCGGTGTTGAAACCGTATTGTCAAGAGCTTTTTGAAAATGTATTGTTTTGTTTATTCATTGTCTTTGTCGTGGAGTAATGGAGCTTTGAAAATCGGTCCAGGGGGTCTGTTATCTTGTGTCATATACGGTATGTTGTTGTTGTTGTTGTCTTCACATTAAAAACCATCCCGGTCTCTCTATCCAGTACCTCCTTCTGTCTCCATCTCTCCGTACTAATCCATCACTTGACTCGGCCAATTTCCGTGGTCACAGGCTAACGTACCTAGAAAAGGTATACCAAAATAAAATGGACCCCAAGGGTCAGCAGAGCGATAAAATACAAGAAAACAAAATATA